AAGTAATCTCTCGCCACCTTGCTCTTCTGCTGCCTTCCTTTTCATTTTGTTTAACAGCATAGGATCAATTGAAACCACATTTGAGAAGTGACTATCTTGTTCAATATCCTTGTGTTCTATACTCTTTTATTCTTACAGCCTTCTTTGTTGTGAAAAAAAATGTGGGAAAAAAACTTCCATTACATTTGTTCTTCGCTCTGCATGAAGAGAAATATGGATACCAAGTCTTAATTTTATCCACTCAGTAATATTTATAAGCCATGTCACAGTGTTGGGGACTGTCATATGGGTGATGGTGACAGAGCACATCAGGGGACCCAGCGTGTGGGTGCCGTGGACGCTGTTCAGTGCCATGGAGACTGAATGGAGGGCTTGATGAGAACGTGGAATCTGGAGGTCAGAGGCGGCTCCTGGGGTGAGTTCCTAGCTCGCAGCAGTGTTCCCTGCAGAGGGGGCCGGTCAGGTTTTGGAGGGGTGTTTTCTGTTGGCTCAGGGTCACACTAGCTGTTGTTTTTTCTCTATAATGAAAATGTTAAGGCTAAGTAATTCTCCCCAGGTTGAGTTCACCTTTGGCCAGTGTCAAGTTAACATTTACTGTGGCCATTGCTCTGGGTCTGAGTCGCATTTCCCCCTGGGAGATGGGGAGGGCGTCCCGTGTTTGCTCATTGCTGCAGGCTGTGTGGGGACCTGACCGGGTGGCGAGTGTGAACGTGTTGTGTGCACCATAACCCTGTGTGGAGTGAGGTAGTATTCTTTTTTTTGTTGTTGTTAGACTTTTATTTTATTTTTATTGAAAAGGCAGATATACAGAGAGGAGAGACAGAGGAAGATCTTCCGTCCGATGATTCACTCCCCAAGTGAGCGCAACAGCCGATGCTATGCCGATCTGAAGCCAGGAGCCTCTTCCGGGTCTCCCACGTGGGTGCAGGGTCCCAAAGCTTTGGGCCGTCCTCGACTGCTTTCCCAGGCCACAGGCAGGGAGCTGGATGGGAAGCGGGGCTGCCGGGATAGAACCGGCGCCCATATGGGATCCCAGGCGTGCAAGGCGAGGACCTTAACCACTTGCGCCACCGCGCCGGGCCCGGTAGTATTATTTTCTAACTTTCTGTTTCTACAGCAGCATGGCCAGTTTTCTCACTACGTATCATGTCAATACTAATATGTAGAAGCATCCTGTGTTTTAACTTCCAGGATAGGCAGTTTTTCCCAAGTAGAAAAGCTTTTTGCTTTAAATACAGTGTGTGTGTGTGTGTGTGTGTGTGTGTGTGTGTTCTTGTATTTTATATATATATATATACAAACACACACATACATATGTTTATATATCATACTTAGGGAAGGAAATGGGAGTTAACAAAGTGCTCAAGCTGCTAGGGCTGTTGGTGGGCCAAGCAGTCAGAGCTTTTCTTGTGCTCCCTGGAAGTATAACGTGTGGTCTCTCTTCCCTGTCAAGTTAGAGCCTAAAGGCTCGGCGGGACAGCTGGGAGCAGGAATGGCAAGTTCAGGTGGAGAGTGATGGCATGGGTTGTGAAGGAGGTGGCTGTGGCTGCCGCATGGGGCCCAGCCTTTGTTTCCTGCCGGAAGCACCCCTCTTTGCTATTCCTTTGCATCTCTCTGAGGTCCAGGGTGCAGAGTGTGTGATGTTCAGCATTTCATTGTCTGGAAACAGCTGCTTGGGAAGCTTTGAGACAGCAACGGACTCCATTCCAGACGCACCCCGAGCTTCAGCTTCCTGCCTGTCCTCTTGCAGTGTGTGTGTCCTTCTCTGGCTGGACTTAAAAAAAAATGTAATTGAAAGGAAGAATGACATCAAGAGAGAGGAGACAGATATTCTATCACTGGCTTATTCTCCATATAGACAAAATGGCTAGGGTTGGTCAAGCCCAAACCAAGAACCTGAAACTCCATCTGGTCCTCCCACGTGAGTGCAGAGGCCCACACACTTTGTTGAACTGCTGCTGCTGTCCCAGAAGCATTAATGGGACACTGGATTGGAAGCACAGCAGTAAGGACTTCAGCAGGTGCTTCCAAGTGCTTCCATGGGGGATGTTGGCACTTCTGGCTGAACTTTCAAACTGGGCTTCTGTGGCATGACGGGAAGGGGCGGAGGGGTACCAGGATGCTTGTGGGGACAGAGTTTTGGTTCTTCTCTGCTGTGCAGAGGACCAGCCATGGCACTGAGGGCCTTTTAGGGGGGGCATACAGGAGTATCGCCCAAGGCTGACCACATGACAGAGAAGTTAATGGTCTTTACTGTAAACTGCAAGAAAAAATCACCTCTCGGCTTTTTGGCTAAGATCAAGCATAGACTGCGAGAAATAATCCCAAGTTTATTGGTCTTAGGCTTCAGAGTTGATGCTTACTGAGCCCGGGAGATGCTGGGAGGCCAGAGGGCTGGAGAGAAAAGTGCACAGAGCTATTCCAGAAATAGAATCAACTGTGCCTCTCCGCCCCTCTCCCAGTGCCGGGCGGAGGCGAGGGAGTCGACTGATCTCCATTTGGACGACAGGTGCCTCAGAAGCCCAGCCAGCGGCAGGACAGCTGCAGCTGCTGCTCTCTGCATCCCCTTTTGGGAGTCCAGAACCCACAGGACAGGAGGCGTGGGTTTGTGATGGAAGCCTGCTGGCCGAGGGAGAGCCTGTTGAAATGTTTTCCGACATGTGTGGAGGTTGTTTTAGCAGCCATCCCAACGGGGAAGCTTCTACTTGGTTTTTGTAGTGAAGGCTCAGAACCAGTGTCTGTTTATACACGGGTACTTCAGAACATGGATGGAGAGGTCTGCGCTGTGACATAGCAGGTTAAGCTGCCTTGGACCGCAGCATCTTTACAAGCATTGGCTTGATTCCCAGCTATGACACTTCTGATCCCTGCTATTTTGTGCCTGCAAAGGTAGAAAATGGCCTGAGCACTTGAGCTCCTGTGGGAGACCTGTATATAATTCCTGGCCAGATTTCAGCTTTATCCAGCAGGAATTGAGCAAGTTCCATTTATGACCAAGCTGCTAGGCACAGTAGGTAGTCACATGGACAAGGCAACGCGGGGAGAAGGGAATGTCAGGTACTTCCTGTGTCATAGACAGTGGAGTTAGCGCAGAGATGAGTCTGAAGCTAGCTCTTCGAAATCTTTAATCTTTTATTGTATACTTGAGCAAATTAATCTGAGGGAAAGAAACTATGGAGCCAGTTTTGTTACAAGCTATAATATACAGTTACATGTATCCTTGTTATCCGTTAAGACTGTCAGCTGCAGGGCGCAAGATACACAGAAGGCTCTCGGGTATCCCACCAGGTGGTCATGAAGTCCTCTCAGACCAGTGTTTACAGTGGCCAACATGGCACACTGCGGCGGGGGCTACTCCCCACATCCAGCACCTACTCTACCCAGGTGGGGATTCCTCAGCTGTCAGTGAAGGTCTTGGCACAGTGCTTTAGGTCCTCAGGGCTGACTTCTTCCTCCCTACACTTTAGTGTGTAAATCCAGTCAGCCCTCAATTCCACTGCTGGAAGAGAAAGGCGGAGAAGTGGACTGATTCTGCTGGGAATGTGGTTCCACCAAGCAGGACAGTCTCAAAGGGACCAGGTGGAGTCAGGTAAGGTGGGCCTGGCAGTCTCCGGTACCCTCAGTGTGCATCTATCAATAAGCGTTCTTCTGTGCTGATGCCACTATGGCACAACTGCATTTTCTAACGATTGAGTGACTTTCTGGGTACCCTGGGCCATCTCGTTTTCCCACATTTGCTTAGTGGTTCTGCCTTCCTTTATTCTCTACTACTCGGACCGAGGTCACACAGCAGATAGCTCTCTAAAGTGAGGTCCGACTTGATGTCTCACCTCTAAAGGCTTACTGTCTTCTGTCGTGACCTCTTGGCCAGCACCCACCTTCTTAGCCTCATGTGGTTCCTGGCCTTAGGCCCCTGATGGGAGCATCTGGGTGTTTAACTGCTGCTTTTGGCCTGGTTGACCTTTCTGCAGTGTCTCTGTTGACGGCAAGGGGAACAGTCTCAGCCAGATGATGCCTTGCTCTTAAGAGGTGACAGTCGGGAGGGGCTGTCCGTTACAGGCCACCCCTCCCTGCAGGTTGTTGCTGGGTCGGCCCAGAACAGGAGGCTGGTCATGACCGTTCTTTATACAGGCCGTTTTTCAAGAGTTGTGTTTGCAGTGAGCAGCTTTGTTCTAGGATAAAACAATGCCTCATTCCTCAAAGAGCAAGCTTAGTGCTTGCTATCAAACAGCAGGTTGCTTAGGCTCAGTGCTTCTTTCCTTAGCAAAATTCACGGTGTGTGCAGGCATTGGTCTGTGTGTTTGCAGCACACCTGTGGGACTCAGGAGTGAACAGAGAGCTTGTTACAGCTACAGCCTAACCCAGGAACCTTCTGGTCAGTTTGTAAGAGTGAAATCCCATTCCAGAAACTCATAATTAACTGATGTGATATGCTTAAGCCTCCTGTTTTGATGTTAGTACCCTGGCAACCTCATGGTGTCTTCTGGTTTTCTTCTGTGCCTACATTCAGACCTAGCATTTGCCTATCTTAGTCATTTTGTAGACAAAGTATAGCTCCCTTGCATCTGTAAAGTTGTATTGAAACACAGCCACATTTACTCCTTTCTGTATCTTCTGCGACTCCTTTTGTGCATTAACACCAGAGAACACAGCATGCAACCCTAAATTTTAACAGCTATCCCTTTAAGGAATCTGTTGACCCCTTAATGTGATTACAGAACTAGGTTTCTGTGAGGGCAAAGTGAGCTCACTTTGTTCTTTGAGGAAAACTCTTGGCTGACTTTCAAGCTGCAAATGCATACCGGTTTATCAGGAAGGATTTTCGACACGGTGTCTCTATCAAGGATTACTAATCAGCAGGGACTATGCATATATAGGAGCTTTCCAGATGGAGTTGGCTCATGCCCATTGGGAGGTGTTTTACTTCAAGGGAAGACATGCATCAGGTGAGAATGACTAGTTGTGAACTGAAACAAAGGACACATTCAGAAATTAAAGGATACTAGAACAGAAATTATTTTTAATCCATTGAAAAGTGCAGCAGTGAACAGGGTCCTTGGAAGGGCACTTTCTAAGTGAGATGGAGCCGAGGGCAGAGTAACCTCCAGGAACAGAGTGACACAAACTGATAGGTCAGCCTGAATTTCTTAGTAACGATTGTGGAACAGCTTAGCTTCTTAAAGCATTAATTTGGGCATTAAAAAAAATGCAAGAACATGTCTCATGGAAGTCATAGCTGCTATGACTAGCATTAGTATTTTGTACAAAAACCTTAAAGTTGTCCATTAAAATGTGTTGACAGCAGCACCGTTTGTAAAATTCAAAGATGCTCTTAAAGATTGTTCCCGTTTTTGAGTTTGTGTAGGAAAGCTTCATAGGAAATCCTATAAGGCAAAAATCTCAGTTCATTGCTAAGGTCGCTGTTTGTTCCTAACGGTTTTCTTGTGAGTTCTCTTTAGTAAGGGCACTGATAGGCATGGACTGGACTTTCTTAAAAGGGAAAATAATGAAAATCCCAACCAGTATGAAAGAAAACAAGACAGCCTCTTGCATTTGTGTTCCTGTACATAAGCATCCTGAAAACAATGCATTTTGTAGTTTACAAACAGATTTCTTTATTCAAAGATTAGGTAGGAAATGTACCAAAAATGAAGTGGTCTGGAAGCGGCTTTGCCATAGCCCTGCCACCCCCACGTCTGCTGAATGCAGAGCAACCTGGCCAAGCTCCCGCCAGCAGCTACTTTGGCTGACTTTACCTGCGTTCCAGAACTGGCACCATGAAACTGAGTAATATGACATCACAGCCCAGTACCTGGTAAGAGTTGCTTGCTTTTTATTTGGGAATAACTGGTCAACTTTCATTGTTGTGGAAGTTGACTGATGAAGTTATCAAAATGGAAAATAAATGTGATACCCAACATTGCAGTTACATAATTTTTAGAATTTCTCTTAACACCCACATAGCAGAGGTGTTCATTTCACTGGCCTTTCATCTCTGGATAACACCTCAATTGCTGGGATCATCTGAGGTAATGGAATGAATTCAATGACCAGTAACCTAACATGGCTGTCTAAAATTCTGATAAAGTTACTATGGCCTTGTCTTACAAAGTGCTTAAAGCTTGACAAAATCAGAGATAAAGCTACAGTTACTTCCTGCCTGGGTTGAACAGGTTGCGATCTACATCTCTGTTTACCTCTGCTATCCCACCACCAATCACCCCTCTTGTGAAGCAAACAGAAATAAAAGTGGTCTTCAAGCCAACAAAAATGTAGATGTTTTAAAGAAGTGGGGAACCTAAACAGATATTTGACAGGAGGAACAGTCACTAAGGTCCTAATCAAAACAGAAAACTCAGAAAAACAATCTCCTTGGGGGCAAACAGGCAGTGGTTAGTTGTTTGAACTTTGCATAAACTAAGACTGTCTTTCATCTCAGAACAAGTGAACAGAGTGACAGCAAAATGCAGGCAGAATGCCTGAGTGCACCAGCCGGACGCTGAGGGCCCCCCTGGCCGGGGCTTCCTTCCCACCTGTCAACCTGAGTCTAGCTATGCAATACTCTCAAACACAGCTTTCACCAACCTTTGGCAGTGTTTCTTTCAGTAAATACACCTAAGCCACTTTATTTTTCAGATCTCGGCGAGTAAAGCCCAGGGAGGAGAGGGCTTCCGTCAGTACTGCTCATGTTAACTGGCGTTCCATGTGGTCAGCAGCTGCTAAGTAGGAGACGGTCACCTCCGAGAGCTTCCTGGAATCCAGGTCTACTGTACACACTGCAGGTTCCAGCTCAGTCCAGATAGACTGCACACTTTCTCCCCGCCCCAAACAAAACCAACCCAAAACCAAGTGACTGCAACAAACAAGGCGTGGTGGACTGGAGTTGATGACAGTATCACACTGTGATGGATCTGCTGCACAATATCTCTGCTTATCAAAACTATGGGAAAGTGTCCTGATGCTTCTGCCCTCACGGTTACTGTCCAAGCCATGTAATGTTAGGGATTTTTATAGTGAGGTGCTCAATATGAAATGTTATACGGATCTTTTGGCTTTGGGTCCAGCTATGTTACAAAAACTTCCTTCCCAACCCTCCCCCACCCCCTTAAGTATTGCCATTTATCTGAATGGATTTATAAATTCAGACTCTGACCACACAGGGAACACTCAAGAACGGAGGTCCCAGTACAGAAAGGATATGGTGAGAACAAAGCCCCAGGAGGGTCCGTCAGCTAAGGGAAGAGGGTGGGCAGAGTTCACAGTTTCACAGGTTACACAAGGAAGTCAGCTGATTGGGTTGTTTTTTCCAACAGGACTTGAAACAAAGGCAGTTCAGGAACTCTTCCAGGCATGGTCTTGACTAGTTAGACATCTACTACAGCCACTCCAGAGAGAAGGGTGCAGGGTCCCACGGCAGAGGCCGGCTGCAGTCGCTACAGGAGATGTTTTGAAAACCTTCTAGTTCTGATGCTGTCGTGATGGCTGAACATGAGACGAGGGTCAAACCTGTACCTGGGAAAAGAACAAATCAGCTGTAGCACCAACTCTAGGTTAACTTCCCCAATGGGAGCCACACAATTACAGTGAACAAGATTTGTTTGGGAAACAAACCAGGCTACATTACTTCTTTATAGAGTGACTCTTGGGCAAGCCATTATACCAAGTTCAATTTTCTGATTTGAAATGTAGTGTTTGGGCTGTCTGGGCTGCATGGGAGTTCTGTGAATCCTTCTAACCATCAGTGCCAGATGTTCAGAGGCAACAAGGCAGATGCTAACCCAGCAGGTCTGTGTTCTAGCAGTGAGTGGTCAAGGACTGCTTGGTCACACATCACAGTTCAAGTGGCTCTAAGCCTTGGATCTAGCAGGAATAGTAATAAAAGTGGAATGAATTGCTATGGACATTGAACTTTATCTGGCTCGATAAAAACATTCTGAGCCATGTAGCCGCTGGAAATTACAAAAATCAGTCAAAGTCAGAGGTTAGAGCTCTAAGAGATTGAAATTTTTAAAAAATTTACTTGAGATCTCTGTCCCTGATGGTGCCTTTCATCTCCTGGTTCACTCCTTCAGTGCCTCCAGCAGCTGACTCCAGACCGGCAGCAGGAGTGGCAGGGCCCGAGTCATCACTGCTGCCTCTCAGGCTGCAGATCAGCAGGAAGCCTGAATCAGGGGTAGACCTCGGACTCAAGCCCAGGCCCGTGATGCCAACCACTGTGCCGAATGTCAGCCTCACAGTGTATATGACACATTCTTTACAGTACTGTTACACAGTGTTAGCTTACTTGTATCGGTATCTCCTTGGCGCCCTATTCTTTTTACATATATAAAACAAGTTGTGTATAAGTCAGTTTCTCTACTCATTTACCTACATTCATCTCTAGACTGAAGATTTAATGTGCAGAGGGCTAATTACGTTACCTTCCACAATTTCAGGACATCACTCTTCCCCTTCTATTACAGAGTTTCAGAAATGAAATTACCCTTTCCCACTGAAAAGTTTGTTAACTTCATATCATCTTTGAGAACGGTGACAGCCTTCCGGCCCCAGGAGGCTCTACTGCGCAATACACTGACACCTAGTGGTCCTGGTGAGAGCTACCACTCAAGAGGCGAGGAGCAGGCACGCACTGGCCACCAGCACAACGCAGGGCTCCTGAGTCCAGCTTCCTGCTAATGCAAACCCTGGGAGTCTGTGGGGCTACCCGACAGTGGGGTGAACACAGTGATGCTTCAGGTGAGTGGATTCCTGCTGGCCCTGAGGGAGACCTGGCCCCTGGGAGCATCCAAGCCGGTCGGGGACTGTGGAGAGTGGCTCAGCAGATGGGAGCACTCGCTCCCTTCCTGACTGAAGAGCTATGGGATGAGGAAGAACAACCCCCAACTCCACAGGTAGTAATTCCCCACATACATTTCCACACTGGCATCTGTGCCTAGCAGCAGGCTGGTCGGTGTCTTTCATTGGCATTTCTGAGAAATGAAATGAAGGCCTATGTCCTTGTGCTCTCTAGGGAACAGGGCAGCACTGTATCAACACTTACAGAAGGCCCCAGTGCAAGCGAGTGACTTCAAGACAAAAAAATCACACCGGCGCAGGAGAGGAAGAGCCCCCGCCTCAGCAGGAGGCAGGGCTGTGGCTCTCACTGGAGCTGCTTGCCCCATGGACACGTACTTCCACCCCACGGGAGACATGATGAAAAGCAGCTCAGTTCTCAGGAAAAACAACTCCCTCTGCCTTCAACAGCAGCATATCCACTCAAGACAACGAACTTAGCAAGTCAAGGAAAATGAAACTTACTCAGGGTCAAAAACTCCTGGAGTACGACAGGTTGGCCCGGAGCAGGACTGTAGCATCATCAAGCGGTAGTTCATCTTTCCTAAGAGCTCTGGGTCAATGCTTTTAGCGATGTTAGTGATCTGGTCGGGGTCTGCAGTCAGATTATAAACTTCCACAAACACCTACAGGAAATGGAAGGATGGAAGAACAGGATGGAAGGTGTATGAAGGGTGGAAGATGAAACGCCCTAGGCCCAGGAGAGTGGCACATGGTCCTAAGCCCCTCAGAGCTGCCTGTGACCTTGAGACAATGCAGCATCTGTCGTGGGGATTCGGTTGCTTGCTACACCCCTTGTGCCTCTGGGCAGCCGGCAGGGGCACGGAAGGCGGGCCCTCACATGGCACGCTCTCTGCAGTCAGGCCACTGACAGGACAGCCTAGAGTTGAGGGCTAATTTTTTCTAAGAGGTATGTGACAATGTTAGCTTTTCTTACTTTAAAAGGTAGTTGTGGGCCTGGCGCTGTGGCCTAGTGGCTAAGTCCTCACCTTGAACGCCCCGGGATCCCATATGGGCGCCGGTTCTAATCCCGACAGCTCCACTTCCCATCCAGCTCCCTGCTTGTGGCCCGGGAAAGCAGTCGAAGATGGCCCAAAGCCTTGGGACCCTGCACCCACGTGGGAGACCCGGAAGAGGCTCCTGGTTCCTGGCTTCGGATCGGAGCAGTACTGGCCTTTGTGCTTACTTGGGGAGTGAATCATCAGACGGAAGATCTTCCTCTCTGTCTCTCCTCCTCTCTGTATATCTGACTTTGTAATAAAAATAAGTAAATCTTAAAAAAAAAAGTAGTTGTGGATGTGTGACCGTGCCTGAAGAAAGATCCAGTATGTATTTAACACTAGACATGCATAACATGTCAGCATTTCCTTCTGTCATCTTTTTGCTGACCAAACGGGTCAAGTGATACGCAAGGATTATGGTAGTAAATGCTGCTATTAGTGACTTCCAGTAGTTGCGTTCAGACCATCACTTATGAAGTAGTTTATCAAACAGGTGAATGTTATGGCGAAAGAGGAATAGGAAGCGAGCCTGAGGAAAGCTCTCCCCTGCCAGGCACGGTGCTTCTGAGGTGTGAACAGCACGGGGAGGAAGCTGGTTTTACGGACACAAGCATTCAGCTGCTGTGGTCTGCAGGGCTACCCGACAGGTGTGAACACAAGCTCACCCACGGTAGGAGGCCACAGGGGAGCAGAGGCCCCACGCGGAGCCTTCAGCCAGTGTCCACCGACCCGTGCTGGGCCCACATCCACCCTCCCGGGGCGATGATGCTGCCTAGCCTCAGCCCCTGCCTGCTCCTGAGCAGTGCTGGGTCGAGCACTGGACTTTGCCTGTGAGTCGGCTGCTAGGGAGCTTTCTAGGAAATGCCCGCATGCCCTGTGCCTCCATGCAGGCCGACATGCTTCACCTTCACTGGATCAGACCGGGAAGGTCACGCAGCAGGCACAGGTCAGTCTGAAAAGTGTGCATTTCAAGTGTGTGACTGAGTAGTGGCTGATGCAATGAGAAATGCCTTCAAAAAGGTCAGTTAGGGAGAGGCAGGCACGGCCTCCGGAAACTGACTTAACTGAAGGGAACCAGAGGTCAAGTACAGATGAGAACATCTTGGGACTTACTTCCAGACCACCAAGTGCAACCCCAGGACACTAGTAACAAATGGACAGAGGCCCAGGCCCCTCTTACCTCCTGGTCGTCAAACTCGCAGTACTGCAGGTTCCACAGTGCCGACATGGTCCTCACACAGGCATAGGTGTTGTTGTAGGCATCTTCACACACACAGTCTGGGAAACATTGCTGGAGGGGCATTCAGAAAGAAAGATCATTCTTTCTACCCAATCAATGCCTACTGCTGACAAGGGCAACAAAGTGGAATAGACAGAAACCAGGAATCCTTTCTCAGAAGCAGGTGTGGGGGCCAGTATTGTGGCATAGGAGGTGAGGCCAGCTTGTGAAGTCCTGGCATCCATATGGGTCTTAGCTGCTCCACTCCTGGTATGGCTCCCTGCTGATGGCCTGTGAAAAGCACATGATGGCCCAAGGGTTTGGGAGACCTGGAAGAAGTTTGCTTCAACCTGGTGCAGTGCTAGCTGTTGTGGCCATTTGAACCAGCAGAGGGGAGATCTTCATCTCTCCCCCTTTCTCTGTAACTCAACTTTCAATAAACTTAAAAAAAAAGTAAGGTTTTGCTCCTGACTCTGGCCACCCCTCTGCAATGCTCTCCTGACAAGCAGTTATAAAGCGCACTTGTCGAATGTATACAGTGGCATGGTCACTGCCCCCAGGAGTCATCTGAAAGAGCGACTGGTGTTACTGTCAACAGAAACTGCCTACATGAGCACTGTCAACTCAGCTGCAGCTATTTATGAATGCTCCTTTAAAATAATATTGATACATTTGTCTGAAAAGCAGAGACCTATGTATTGGTTCACTGCTCAGATACCCACAAAGGCTTGGGCTGCACTTGGCTTAGCCAGACCAAATGCAGGAACTCCTCACAGAGGTGGCGTGAACCCAAGAATCCGGGCCAGCATCCCTGCCTCCCGGCACATTAGCAGAGGGCTGGGTTGGAAGCATAGTAGCTGGGGCTCAAATGGGCTCTTCCATATGGGATGGTAGCGTCCAAAGAGGGGCTTTAATCCTGTATGCCACAACGATCCCACGAGTGTTTTTTATCAAATAAGATCAAACTTGTAACTTACTACTTCATGTCTTCCGTAAGAGATGTTACTTGTACTCTGAGTTTGGTTCTTTCACAGTATTTGGATGTTATGAAAACAACTCTAAGTGGAAGTCTATTTCCCACTCTCCAAGTGAGGCCAACGTGGGTGGCTGTTACTACCGTCACGACCTGCCTGGGTGCCAGCACTGCAAGGCACTCTTGATGGCATGGCTAAAGGTAGAATCTCATCCCTGCACCAGACGCCACTCATAAGAATGGCACAGCTACGGAGGGTGGGAAATGGAGGGGAACAGGGTTTGACAAGTGCAGGCACACCGGCTGATACAGGCACTAGTTCTGTAAGCTGAAAGGATCTCAAGTGTACATTCTGATGACAGGTTCCCAGCAGCACTTTTAGGATCAGTGCTGTGTTCAATGAAAAAGTGATAGAAACCTTTTCAAACTATTACTCACAGAAACTCCAGGACTTAGGGAGGGACACGTTGGGTCGGTGACGTTACGGCCTTCTCCTTGGTACTCCACCAGGACATCTGATCTCCAGGTCAAGTTACTGGCCCCTGTCTAGAAAGAAAAGCCGAAGCAGCTTCTGTGAGGCAGACAAACTTACTCTTGTACCTAAGGGGACTTGTCATCAAAACCAATTGGACTGTTCATTTGGTAACTCAGGAAGGGACTGGAGTGGGTGCTTATGAAAGCTGCTGAGTAGCATGCCTGGTATTTACAGAGTCTTTACAAGTGACGACAAAGCTCTTTGAACATTTAATAGTTTCTTTTCAAGACTGTCCCCGAGAAAGCAGGTCAGGGATTGGAAACTGATGAAGTAGCCAGCTAAACAAAGCTCAGCGTCACAGCATAAATTACTCAAAGTCTGGGTTGAACAGTACTATTTATATGTTCTGCGTAAGAACTGTTCTAAGCTCATTCTTAGGGCAACCCAACAGGACAAGAAACAGAAAGGGCTGGCATGTAAAAGGGCTGTAACGGAGCTAAGGATCTGGTGATGATCGGAAAGAAGGTGCAGTATATGAACTCGTTTACTCTGCTGCATACTGCTGAAGGACAGCCAGCAGCACTGAAAACCAGAAAGTTAATACAGGTGCAGTAACGGCAACAGGAGGAAGAATTTGGGAGTAAGAACAGATTTTTGATCAAAAGCACATGAATATAGGATGAAAGAAGAAAACATGGCAATGTGATGGTCTGAAACCCAGCAGGGAAGCAGTGCAAAGTCAGACTGGAGAGTCAGCGGGCAATCTCAACAGGAAAAGGCCCTACACATTAGTCTGTATGTCTGTCCAACATACAGCGGCAGGTGATGGAGAACATTGCGCTCTGAACAGGGAAGTTCCACAACCAGGGCTGCGTAGCAGCTAGGATGCCTGTGTTCTCTATTGGGGTATCTGGGTTCAACTTCCAGCTTGTTAATGCAGACCCTGGAAGGTAATGATGAAGGCCCAACTAGTTGTGTCCCTGCCACCCAACTTGTGAGAACTGCAGTGAGCTCCCAACTCCTGGGTCTGGTCTGGCTGTTTACAGACAAGTTCACTCTCTCAAAGTTAGCCAAAGAGCAGAATCAGGGGATTGGGAGATGGAGGAAAAACTGGATAGGAAGGTTTTAGAACATTTTAAGAGCAGGTTTGGTAGGACAGTCTGAAAAGCATGAACTCAGACCCCCAGCAGCCCTAAGGAACCCAAAGATGCTCAGATCCTGCAGGAATTCCCATGAACAGTGAAATGGGAGAAGCTGCTTTACAGCACAAGTTCTCATTTAGCCTCCCTGGGGAACTTGTTATAAATACAAATTCTTAGTTTCCAGTGGAGGAATGGAGCAGCCTGGATTTTAAGGAGCACCACAGGCATTTATGGGGAGCTGTAGAGAGCGGTCCTCTGCTGTAAAGGACCTTTAACCAGGGCGAGCATGTAGGGGAAGGAATAGTAACCTTAAAGGTCAGAGCAGTAGGAAAGCAGTCGGAAACAGCAACCTGTTTCCCAACCCACTCTTCTGCAAGGAAACCTGATTTAGGTCTGTGCAGTTCCGGGCCTCAGACGTGAGTCACAGGAATTACAGAAGCTGTCATATCAGGCCCAAGTACACACACGTCTGAGCCACAGAAGCTGGAGGCTAGAGGTTTGAGTGATTTTGAGAGTTTAGAGGGAGTGGACACTGGCCTATGATTGAGGCTCCCATTCCACATCAGAATAGCTGGGATCAGTCCCTAGAGCTCCAGCTCGACTCTACCATCCTGCCAACGTAGACCCTGGGAAGCAGTGATGTTATGCCACCCACACGGCCTCACTGAGGGGTTTGTACTCACCAAAATGGGCAATAAGGACATCCCATCCATCTGCGTCTTATTCAGGTTATAGCCAGCAATGTCCAAAATAGTAGGGCCTAAGTCAATGTTGGCGACAAGCATCTGTGAGAAAGGAGAAAAAGAAAATCAACCTACAATACAATTGCTCCCATTTTCCTTTCTAACCTAAAGGAGAGTAAAACCATCAACCTATGCAACAGATAGCATTCACTGTGACCTTTTGTACAGCCTGTACTTCCTTGGGTCTCACCATTTCATGTA